CCAAACATGTGCAAACACATTTTAATAATATCCTCGTGCATTTCATTAGCCTCCTGAGTTCACAAAGGGCCTTTGGGAAGCAATCTGGTTTAAATGCAACTCAATTCCGAAAACGCTGGCTCTGGGCAGGTCCTCCTGGCACCTAGCTGGCCTGGCGCAAGGCAGCTGGGGGAGGGGGAGCAAGGCTTTCAATTGACTGGAGGGAGTGGGGGGAGGTGAATGGAAGGACCCACCACCCAAGCCCGCCAGCCTGCCCCAGCAGGGCCGGTCATGGGTTATTTTTACCTCTTGAGCCTCACTGTACAGGCTCAGGGGCCGAAAGCCGTGGCAGCCGCCTTCGGAAACTGGCTTATGAGTCACCTAGTGACTGCCCTGGCTCGGTGGCAGCTGCCTCTTGGATCCTGGTCCCAGCTGGAAGGCTGGCCATGCAGGGGGCTGTGTGCCCCCTCGCCTGAGGTGTCCAGGGGCAAAGATGGGGAAAATGAAGTTCAGAGAGGCAAGAGGTCCTCAAAAGGGTGGCTGGGGGAGGGGTGTTGGCTAGAAAACAGGCCCCAGGGGGTGGCTGTCAATTCCCCATCCAACCATGCCTCCACCTGGGTGGGCTATGGGAGGGAAGTGCAGGGCCAATGAGGCTGAGCATCAAACACCCCCCTCCCTACCCTCCTCTACCTCCCCCTGTCAGGGCAAGGCAGTCCCAAATACAAACAGCCCCAAACTTTGACTCATTTGTAACCATCGTCCCAGTCTGACTGAGCCAAGCTGTCCAGACAGGATATTTATAGGTACGTCGGGGACAGACACTCACACAATGACACACATACTCGGGATCCACCGCTGGGCCAGACCCACCAGCACGAGCCCTGGTTCCAGACACCTGGACACAAGCGTCCCCAGACCCCCGAGAGAGGCACCCAGCCCCAGATACAGACCTCAGAAGACTCACAAACACGTACTCCTGGGACAGACCGCGACTCAGACATACATACAGACACACAGACACGCACACCCCATAAACGCACAGAAACCCACTTACAGAGACCGAGACACACAGTGCCACGCACACTCCAGACACAGCCGCTCGGTGCCCCAGACACCTCGCAGGCCAGACAGTGTCTCACATGCCCGCCACCCCCTCCCAGCCAAAGTTGATATAGACCCGGCCTAATTGCTCCAACGCGACTGCCCCTTAGGGAAATAAAATGGAAACTTCACGCATCCACCCCGGCTATCTC